CAATATTGTCCTACTAACAGCCTAGCGGCTGTAATCAAATTTAACATCAATACAACCTCCTTTGTATCACAATCTGTAACAATGCCTAACAAAAATAATTGCGGAGTAAATTTTACCCTCCTTCTAAAAATTCTCTGGATATTCCACCATATTTTGATCCAAAATGCTTTTATCTCTCTGCATGACCACCAAATATGATAATAGGAAGCATCCTTATAACCACATCTCCAACATTTGGGTTGCACGTCAGGGTACATAAGAGACATTTTTTGTGGATCAAGGTGCCATCTATAAAACATTTTATAAAAATTCTCCCTAAGGTTCTGTGCTTGTGTAAATTTGACATTTCTCACCCAAATGGTTTCCCAAATGTCCAATGAGACTGGGACACCAAAATTCTGCGCCCATCTAATCATACAATCTTTAATTAATTCCGTTTCTGAGTCCATTTCAACTAATACCCCATAAATTCTCTTGATATGGGTTTGTCTTTGATCCTTGACTTGCTTAATAAGATTTCCATCTTCTCTAAGAAAACCCAATTTATAATCCACCTTCCATTTATCTACTAGTTGCCTATATTGAAACCAGGAATAAATAATATTTTCTTGCGCTAAATCTTCCCGTATTCTTAACTGCCAGTTTTGCCCATCCCATCTAAGTAACTGACTATAAGACACCATGTCCATTTTTACTCCTCTTTTTATTCCTTCTATCGCATGCCAAGGTATAGCCCATAATGGAAGATGCACTTCTTAAAAGATGGGCCTAAGGAAGGTCTTATCAGTCTCACCAAGCCCAAATGGAATCTGTCAAAAAGGAAGGAGCAGAACTACTGGAAAACAGCATTCCCCCACTCCCAATCCTGAACCACTCTAGAAGGATATTATGGTTAATGATATTGAAAGCTACTGAAAGATCCAGGAGGGCTAGGGGGGTCACACTATCCTCATCCCAAGCCCGCTTTATAATATGCAGAAGTGCAACCAATCAGTACTATAACCCATCTTAAAATTTGACTGAAAAGGCCCAAATAATCCACATCATCCAAGGTCCTCTGAAGCTTTGATGATATATGGGAATGTCCTGGGAGATAGGAGCACAAGCTGTAACCTTGGCAACAATCTGATAAAAGATAACTCATTCCACAGATGGTAGAAAATCATGGAAAATATTTCATAAGGGACTCCCCCTAGTTCTCTGGAGACTAAAAAAAAAGGGGGAAAATACTTTCAGTCTTTCAAGATTGTATTTTATGTAATCTTATAGTAAGTGCTATCCTTATTGTGAGGTTACAAAACCTAAGTATAAATCACTGAGACATATACCAAAGAGAGAAAATAACTAGTAAAAAAGCAAAATAGCCTAATAATTAAGTGTCCAGATTTTTATTTGTATCTTTAAAAATATTAACCTACCACTTTGAGAAGAGTTGTCAATTCTTGGGGACATTTGAAATATAACCAAAATGCTCTCCTTAATGATGCCAACTACACCTTAGAAAGAGAACCATGTGGAGGACTTCAGTAACACTGTTAGATCAACACATTTGCTAGCTGACATAAACACACCCCAAAATCAAGGTATATATAATCCTCAGTTAACAGCTGCCATATTTAGAAACAGTTTGCAATTGCAACAGTGCTGAAATAGTAACTTTATGACCTGTGTTCAGACATTAGACAGTTGCAGTGTATTTATAGTCACATAATCACAATTTGGAGCTTTTGCAACTAGGATGAATTTATGACCATTGCAGCATCCTTTGGTCATGTGATCACATGTGCAAGTTTCACAGCCAGCTTCTGACAAGCAGAGTCAATGGAAAAGTCAGCAGTAAAACTACAAGTTGCAGTCACCTGATGTTTCACTTAACAACTACAAATGATTTGCTTTATGACTGCAGGGGAACTGATGTTGTAAGTACATCACAATTATTTGATGTTTCACTTAATGACCACATTACTTCACAATGGAGTTGCTCGTCCCAACTGTGGCATTAACTGAGGACTAGCTGTATGTAGTCATTTTGCCGCCTGAAGTAGAAAATCCCAGAAGTGCACTCTGCCAGTAAAAATACAACAGTATTCATATCTAGAAACTGAACATCTGCATGGAATTATGTAAAGTTGTTGCCAAGGTTTTAAACCAGAATACTGTCACATAAAAACACATGTCCCATAGTTCTGTTGCCTTATAGTTAACCAAGGAACAGCTTTCTAAATATGACTCCCACCAAATATATTATAGCACTAACATGCATCTGGCTGGCATCTGGTTGGAAGAGTAGACTAGAAACAACAAGAACAAGTCAAATTAGTCCCAGAAAAAAAGTTGTTCTTTCCTGTCCACCAACAAGATGAACAATGTTCCCCTTTAAATTGGAGAACTATGTAATTCTGAATGTTTCATCAAAACAGTTTCTTATGCAATATCAATTATCTCATCATCAAACTGTCCACATCCATCCTTTAATATTAATTCCAACTCCTGTGCTATATCTAAAAAGTCAGTCCACATGGTTTGTGATGATCCACTCTCTTCTCTCCTCTCCTCTCCTCTCCTCTCCTCTCCTCTCCCATCTTCTCTCCTCTCCCCTCTCCTCCCCTCTCCTCATTTCAAGAGATTCTTCTTCTCCTCTGCTCTCCTCTTTTCATCTTCCCTCCCCTCCCCTCCTCTATCCCATTTCCTTCCCCTTCTCTCTACTTTGCTATCCCCTCCTATCTTCCCCTCCCCTTCTCTCTCCCTTTCCTCTTCTCTTCCTTCTCCTTCTCTTCCTCCACTGCCCATCCCCTCTTCCTCCCCCCTCTCTTTCCTCTCCTCTCCTCCCCTCTTCTCTTCCCTTCCTTCCCCTCTCATCCCCTCCCTCTTCTCTTCTCTTCTCTTCTCTTCTCTTCTCTTCTCTTCTCTTCTCTTCTCTTCTCTCCTCTCCTCTCCTCTCCTCTCCCCTCCCCTCCCCTCCCCTCCTTTCTGTTTCAAGCATTTCTTCCTCTCCTTTCCTCACCCCTCCTTCCCCTTCCCTCTCCCTCCCACCCTCCCTTCTTCCTTCCTGTCCCCTCCCATTTATCAGCCATAGGGAGGGAAATACATCCACAACCCAACTTCTTAACTTGGGATCAGAGCAACTGGAGAATAGAGAATTAAAGAGGGCTTTTAACTGCGGCACAGTCCTTGCTATAAAGGAAACTAGATAGATTGGTGATGGCATTCACAACAGCAACTGTCCTGGGGTCCAAGTTCAATTCAAATGTCACAGATTGGGGGTGAGAAAAGAAAAAAAAAAGCAGTATAGTATGTGTGTGTGTGTTTCATCTCTGATATTGAAGCTCTTGGGTTGCACTGAGGAAAACAATGCTAATTGTTTTGTGTTCAAACTATTTTATGCTTATGAGATTACAGACAGAAATGGTAATGTGACATAGAATCAAATGTAAATAAAATATAAAAACTAAAGAACTAATTCAGATCAACTTGCTTCCTAACTCCACGTATATTCCTAACAAGAAAATTCAGGGGTTCTTGGTGTTCTCTGAGTTTACTTGTTTTTTTGCAGATGTTTCCTTACCTATTCATTGGGCAATGAAATGTCTGCAAGAAAACAAGCAAGTTCAGAGCATACCAAGGTCCCCTGATTTCAACCCTGAGCTACAAATATTCTCCTTTATTGGTAATAAGAAAATTATTTGATTGTCCCTACGAAGTCAATAGGAGCTAAAGTATCCTTGAAGAAGAATTAACTTTACAGACACAAGCAGGCAAAGGGAGGGGCCAATAAAATTAAAAGGGACATTCAGCTATATCAAGTCACCCAGATCAAAGGAAATTTGAGGTAGGATTACCCCCAGCATTACTGTTTACCTGCATGCCAGAGATAAAAGCCTGTGATCATTTTGTTCTACACTTTAAAACGATCTCAGGCAATCAGAAGAGGAGAAAGAACAGCTTGGATGGCCCTATGTAGATTCAGCTATATACTGTATATCAGATTCTCAAGTGCTAGAAAGGAAGAAAAGGCCATCAGGTCTAACTCCAATAAGGCCAACAGCACATAAGATTTTAAAGATTGGATCTACTGTGTATGGAAGTATAGCACAGTAGCAATGACAACCCTTCCCCATTTCTCCCTTCTTCCCCTTTGTGTATTTCAGCTACCCAGCTGGACTTCCACCTCCATATAATGTCTTTGGAACTCTTTCATGTCATATTCCAAGTTATTCAGCAGGGAAAGTTCAATTGTAATTCATGAGATTTAATGCTCTGAAAGAAACAAGTTTAGGACTGGCAAACCTGTCAACTTCACCATCTATTTTAAGAAAATACTTTATCACTTTTTACCATATCCACCCTCCTCACCACCACCCCCGCCCACTATTAGAAACAAAGCAGGAGAGAAAGGTGTGCTGCATATGCTTGCTTTACCTGATTCTTTTCCCTGGTTTCAGTTTTTCATTTGAATTATTTTCCTATACCAATAACAAAACCCAGTGGAAAGGTTACTCAATTTTTAAGATGTGTTATTTATGCCCTTGAGTATTAGAAATTCTGTGGATACTCTTCCCTGCAAATGAGGAAAGCGGAAAGAATGACTTTGTTGGCAATAAACCAGACTTACTTTCAGAAGTTCTGCTAGGAATGACTTGTTACCCTTAAAGAAGTGTCATTCCAGTACTTTGATTTTCTTGAGTTATGGTTTCCTTAGAACAAACAAAGTGGAAAGTTTTGACCATCTTGACCGGGGATAGTAGGAGGTGGTGCTTGCTGATGTTCTGTTCTGTCCTCTCCCCCCTCCAGTTTGGGAACTCTTCATTCAAGAGTTTTTGTCAATGGGAAAGAGTGTCCTGCTGATATTCCCCACCACAGGCTTTGCTGACGTCACTAACGAAGCAATAAATATCTCTTGTTATAATTGGATGTGAGACTTGGGGTTGTGATTGCAGGACGTTGCCCACCGCTGCTATGGAGCGGCCCCCATGATTGATTCAGCAGTGGATCGGGGCACGCAAACGAGCTGTCAAGGAAGCGTCAGCTTATTAGGCGAGGGCTGCGTGATTCCAGAACAGGGTCTAACCTATAAAAATCACACAGCCAGACTCTGATTAGGACACCAGCGGATCACCAGGACAGGCAGGAGACGTTAGGTACACATCCCAAGAAGGAAAGAGAGAAAAAGTGGGCACCGACCACTGACTGACTCTACTTCTCCCAGACTACTCCACCGATACCTCTTAAGGTAGGGAGGAAACAGATATGAGCACAGGTTGCAAACTTTTCTCAGGAAGTGTGTGTATGTGTGTGCATGTTTGTGGATTGTGGTGGAAGTATGTACTATGATCTAAGAAATATAAGTCATCCTGAGAGCATGTCATAATTATGATGATAAAGGAGGAGGGGGAGGAGGGGAGAGAAAACACCGTTTGGTACGGTAAGGCTCATTGTTTTAAAAGATTAAATGTGCTGATTTATAGGAAGCCCCCAATATAGCGATTTTAGCTGTATAAATCAAGTACTACTCCGTTTATTCTGACCTTTAATAAGGAAGAGTAGATAGGTTTTAGGCAGCTCTTTCACCCAGAGAAAGAATGCAAGTCCTTCTCACGCTTAAGTTCGAGAAAAAAATTGATTCGAGTTGGGTTGATCGTTCCGGGAAAAAGTCCGATTGTGTTCTCGGTTCCTTAAGAGTCGTTGCGAGGGTTGCTCGAAAGATTTCAGCACCTCGGACAGTAAATTGCACGGGCAGCAAAACTCCCCAGTTCTTTAATAGACAGTTGTGCCTTTTCCCACCATCCCTCCTGTTACATTTTCAGATCTGGCCGTCCTGAATCATGAAGATCCAGCTGCTTGTCTCTACCGGGATCTTATTGGTTGCTCTCCAGCCCTGCCATGAGTGCAGAACCCTCAGCAAGAGTGGCCCGGCCGCTCCCGCCGCCAGTAGCGCTCTGCAGCAGTTAGATTTCCAAGAACAACCCCAATCGCTTCCCATATTGCTCCGCATGGGAGAAGAATATTTCCTGCGCTTGGGCAGCCTTCGCAAGAACCCCGCCGCCGCCGCTGCTGCCGCCGGCGGATCCTTCTCCACCACTACCAGCACGAGCACCAGCAGCAGCCACCTAGCTACGTCCTCGTCAGCGGGCAACTTTTTCCGAGCCGTTGTCGAACAGCTGCAGCAGCTGCAGCACTTCCAGGAACGCTCGTTAGAAGGCGCCACCGACTCCTGGGGCGGCGAAGACGACGGCGCCCACCTAGAGGCCACGGAGAAGGAGAAACGATCCGAAGAGCCGCCGATCTCCTTGGATCTGACTTTCCATCTCCTCCGAGAAGTCTTGGAGATGGCCCGAGCGGAGCAGTTGGCGCAGCAGGCTCACAGCAACAGGAAACTGATGGAAATCATCGGGAAATGAAGCGCTCTCCTTTGCCTGGCCCCGACCAAAGAGCTCCTCCAGTTAGCACACCCCGTAGACCTAGATCTACTTACGCCGCTCCTTCGCGCCGTCCCCCTTCCCTCCTCGTTCTTTTCCTTCGAAAGCTTTCTCGAAGTAGCCTTGCATAGCATGTCCGGCGTCTTACCCAAGTGTCGTCGTTTGTAACTTCTTTTTCTTTTCTCAGCCGCCCTGTCCCAGGCAAGATTCAGGCTAGGCCTTTCAGGGCGGGGTCCGTTGGTCTGGCCATCGGAAGCAGGCGAAGGGCGAGAAGCGTCTTCTGGGGTTGGTGGGCGGGAAAGGGGGCCGGAGCCTCTCTGTACTCAACTATTTCGATTTCACTCTTTGTCTTTTCTTTGTAAACATTTCTTTCCACAAATAAAACATATTTTCAGCGCTCGGTCAACTTGGTCGTGTAAGAGAACGTTTAATACGTATCTATATCTATATAATATCTCTCTATATTTTTAATAAAAGCTGCAAAGGAACGTTGGCTTGCATACACTTCCTTGGCTGCGTCAAATTTCAGAAAAAAGGGAGGGTTGGAGACCTTTGATGGTGATGAAGAGTTGAAGGAAAAGTCTTCATCAGTGGGGTGAGGTGGGGCTATTAAATGGATTAACGGTGGACTATGGGGTAGAAAAACACATCGACATGCACAGAATCCCAATGTGGGCAAAATGGTTGCATACCTATATTGCCAAGGGTTCAGTTTGCCTGTAGGGAAGAAATGATGTTGAAAAGGGGAAGGGCATGAGGAGGGGAGATATAACTATCCAAACTGGTGCCCAACAGGGAACAAAAGACTACAAGTCCCATTGATCAAAGGTAGCTGAGGACAATGGGAGATATGAACCAGCCCATCTGATTAGAGCAGGGGTTCCCAACCAGGGGTGCTCGCACCCTCCTAAGGGTGCGAGATGATATTCCAGAGGGGTGCAGAAACTTGGGTTTTCAAGATTATAGTGTATATGCATAATCCGTTGCCATTATTTCCAACTTTTGTAAGGGGTGTGAGAATATATCAGAAGTGTTTTAGGGGTGCGGTGTATAGAAAAGGTTGGGAGCCGCTGGATTAGAGGATGATCTCAATTTTTAAACTGCTTGACATCTGTTAGGATATCAAGTCCAGCTTAGCTCAGATACAAGCAATTAAAAACGGGGAGCTGCATTGGATAGGTGCAATGAGCTCCATAGATTTTGGGTAAAAGGATAAATGTTCCAGGTTTAACAAAATGATTCCCAAGCAAAAGCTCTCACTTTTGCCTTGCCTGTCCTTAACTCCGGGTTCTAAGCTTCTCTGCACAAAGGTAAGTAATCTGCTAGCCTCTGAGTCTTTGGAAAATCAGCAGGTCCAAACTGTGACAATGGGCTGTGCTAATTGGAATCGATAGGACAGAAATGGGTGAGGTTGTTCATCCTGCTTTATATTTCAAGGAATTCTTTGAAGCTTATACTACTCCAGAGTAAGCATGTGCTAAATTGCCATTTGGTGTATTCATCTGTCTATCTCCCCCCCCCCCTGTAGTTCCCCAGGTGCCCTGTCCCAGTTCACTCAAATAATTCACCACAAATCCAACCAAAAGGTGGATTTCCAGGTGAAATATTCAAGCTGCAGTATTTTTCCCCTTCCTTTCAGTATATTTTGGCATTACAGGAATACAAGCAGTGTTTGCTGTCACCTCAGATAATTAAAGATACCGTATATTCTTAGATCTACCTTTCAAACCATGTAAAAAACAAGCAAAACTCCATTCTTGTTAATAACATGACCAATATCCTCCAAACCTTTTCCATCTTTCTTTATCAGAGTTTTGCTTACAGGTTTTTGAGGACAGAGTGAGCAGAAACTATGAAAGAAAAGTGACATATTTTTTGGCCTTAAGTAGGATGAGAGTAGGCTTTTTACTTTAGAAATCCTCTCCAAAGAGACTGATGGCTAGAATATAGATGTTTGAGTGAACTGCTGGGTATTTCTCACATCAACAACTTCACAAAGTATCTTATTTAGTGTCAATATTTAGACAAGGGGACAGACTTCTTAAGACTATTTAGAAGAGAAAACCAAGATAATGGATCTGAACTCCTTCCACAATTTCCAGACATTTTTGAAAGCGAAATAACTCTTTGGAAACTATAGGATGGTGGCTAAATCAAAATCAGCCCAAATGAATGACTGTCAACTTTCAAAGACATCCATTACAGAGAATGTTTTTTTACACCCCAACATTTAAGCCAGTGGGATATAGTTAGGAGAAGGTGGATATCAATCAGTCACTGTTTATCAGCTTAAGTTACATCACCAATTTGTGATGAAGATTAAACGGTGGTGGTTGTGAAGATGGGGGACAAAACTGTGAGTTTTGGAAGAAATTGTCAGTGATAAAAAAACTAAGTAGATGATTCTGGATGTCTGCATGTGCTCTTGTTGAATAATAAGCTTCTTGGTGTGCCTTAAATATGTTTTTCAATAGAAGATCTAGCCAATATATATAGCAACCCAAGCAACTCTGAAAGGGATAACACCCAAGCACTGTCTGGATCAATGATATTAGTCTCAAAGATCTTATTACCCTCTTCTGAATCAGCAAGAGATTTTCATTCCCAGGCACTGGCCATCTCCCTCTGATATTGTGTCTCTTCTACAGTAATCTTCCCCAGATTGTGCTCCCTTGAAAGACTGGAACTGCAACTCTCAGAATTTTGTCTTGAATTTCTATGAGTTATAATTTCTGGGGATCAGCAGACCAAGAAAAATCTAAAATAAAACATCTGTCAGCTTAATTTATTCAGTTAATTTTTTTCCCACCTGATTCCAAATATATCTGGGCAGCTCACCAAAGGAATAAAATGTATTGTAATCCAAAAACAAATTACCAGAAAATAAAGAAGAAAGCAGGTAAAAAAACAAGTTGGTGAACTGACCAAAAACAAAACTCACAAGGGGTTCCAACTACCCTAACTCAAGTACTGGGGAATAGCTGGGACTTCAAAGGTTTTGTGTTTGTTATTATATTGTTTTTACATTGTCTGTTATATTGTGAGTCACCCAAAGTTGTTTTGAAACTAATCAATTAAAATAAAAAAGTAAAAATAAACTGTCAACCTGGTGTCCTTCCATAGGGATATTTCCAACCAGCAGTGCCTTTGGAATGGCAGTCAACACTCAGTGGTGCAAATATAATGAAAATACAGGACACATATTCCTTGGTGTCTGCAGGCACAGGAGATCTACTGAGGTTCAGATTGTCCCTTGGATATGGAAGCATACTTTATGCAATTAATAACCACCATATGTGGGCTACAAAAATCTGGATAATCACTAGATAGCAGCAATGTTAGTTTTCTGATTCATTTTTTTGACATAATATTTTATAGCCTAGAAACAGAAGCTCATTCTCATGAGCCCAACAAAAGCACACAATAATCTTTCAGATTTTTGTAGATATTGTCTGCTTGACGGAATATATTTCTGATGGCTTAGTATGTCCATGGGGGGGGGACTTGTGGTGAGAGGGGCATGATTGCAGAAGGTCAAGTAGGAATGAGGAATAACATTTGGGTGGCTGAGGGGAGGAGAGATCATTTTAAGCCTGAAGTCTACTGTAGCAGAGCGTAATAGTATGTGGAATGATCTTGGGAAACAAGGGGAAGAAATGCAGCATCGACAACTCTCCGATGAACAAAATCTGAATCCAAAAGATGGATGGGGTGGTGGTGAAGAAAGAGTCTGCAAATGGATTCTTCCTAGTTTTGAAGAATGTATGTTCAGACTCAGATTCCTTTTATCATTCTGTTGATTAGACCAGAGGTCCTCATCCTTTTGGGCACTAGGGACCGGTTCCATGGAGAAAGGTTTTTCCACGGACCAGAGAGTGCATGGTTTTGTGTGCTGCCTGCATCCGATGGATCGGGCTTTGCTTGTTTGTGCAGACTGGTTGCTGGCATGCCGCCGCCTGATATCGGTCCATAAACTGGGGGTTGGGGACCACTGGACTAGATTGTGGGTCTTCCTCCTCTCGTCTAAAGTCATTCCCACATACCATTACATAGTGGCAATGAAAAAGCAGATGTGTGACCTTCCTCTTTCCTATCTCCAGTCCATTCCAAATGGCTGCAATAGGGATGGGGCATGCCTTGCCTGATAGTGGGGGCCTTTAACAAATTTGCCTTGGTGTCCTGAAAGATGTACTTATTACCAACCTATATTATTTGACAGTGACTGTCCAAAGTTTCAATGGGAATTTGCCCCAATTCTATATAATGAGGCTATGAGTTGAACCTGAGAACTTTTGCAGGCATAGCATATATTTTTCACTAAGTAAAGTTCTACCTGATACCAGCACTTGCTTCTGTGTCTCTTCTCAATACATCTAACTCTAAGTTAGTCTGAATTATTTGTAGGCTTAACTCTGTGTCAATGCTGTAAAGCAGATAAACTAATATTTGGTAGGAGGCACAGGAAGAACCAATATGTTCTTTTCGTTCTACATCATCGAATTCACCCTCCCCCACATATATTTGGATGTTCTCAAAAAAGAAAGGTACAGTCCTTTTGATTTTTAGCATTACCATGACTATGTTCAAATGAAATTCAAAATTTAGATTGACAGTTGGCATGAATGAATAAATGTACAAGATCTAGGCAGAACTGTCAGCAGGAAGTCATTATTTTTATTAAAAGGGAAAAATTGAAATCAAATATTCTTTTTCCTCTAAACCATAACTTCTTGATGGACAAATAGGTTGCACACAGACATGAAAAATATTACTCACTAAAAAGGTTCTATAATGTTGCACTAAAAAGTCATGGGAGCTTTGATGAGATAAATTTTTAAAATTTTAACGAATCATTAGTGTGGCATATATACTTGTTGCACTGTAGCTGATTTTAGACACAGTTCACATAATCCATGATCATTGTTTAATCAAGCTAGAGAGGATGGGAGTTGAAGTCCAACATTTAGAGAGCCATAGATTTCAGTGTAGGACATTTTAATTCATTGTTAATGAGAAGATGAGGATTCAACTTAGTTGTAATATAAAGTCTATGAATTAAAAATAACAGAATCCGAGCAATTAGGTCAGAATTTAGAATACTCCATTATACATCATCACTGTCGCAAAGTTTTTAAACATTGATTTGAATTGTTATTCTTTATACTATATGCAAAAATTACTTTGAAAACTCCAAAAATTCAAAATCAGCTTTCTAACAGCGTATATGGCAAATATGATTTTTAAAAAAACCAATTGGAGTCCAAACATCACC